AAGTATTCTCCTTTCCTTTCAGATTGGAGAAACCTTTATCTTTCTGCCTAATAGATTCTTCATATTCGTTATGCCACTCTTTGAAACTTTTTCAAAGAATCTAAATTACACTTAATCTTATAAGCATAACCATATTTACTGAACCATCAGTAGATCATGACGAATAGACTTATCGTCCTTTGTGGTGGATCTGACCAGTGCATATCAGTATGTAATAGATCTATTTGTCCTTCACTTTGACTCACATAAAACATGTGATCAACGAATTAGTCTTAATCTTCCAAAGATCAAGATTCTCATACATCACACAATGCGAATTGTATGACTCCAAGTTTCTATCCAACTGAAACTTGGGTGATGAGAATTCTTTTTTAACATTGCTAATAATAGAAATATAACCACGGATTTTCATAAATGCCATTGTAAGGAAACATAAAGTAAACAAGATAAAACAAAAATTCACTTTATTGATAATGAGCTGAATAATTTTGTCCTTACTGTACAAATATATGAAAACTATGTTTCTAGATATTTCCTAAGAAATCTATCATAACTCCTAAGCAGCAACTCAAAAATCTGATCATCGAACTATGCCACCGAAATCCATCTCTCACGATCAGATTCAACTTACTCTTCTTAAGCTTCCTTCTTTCTCTTAGATTTTGCAAAACATCAAAATGTGACTATCACATCATGTATTAAGAATCTATGAATAAAAACTTAATAAAATAATGGAGTTATATAATGGATGTACCTGAAGTAGAGTCACATAACTTGACTTTACTATCTCTAAGATCTTTTAGGTAGTCTGGGTAGCTTCGCATCCAATGCCCCTTCAATTGGCAATAGAAACACATGGACCTGTTGGGATTAGCACATGGAACTATCTCATAACTAGCCTTTCTCTTTACCATATGGTCAAACGGTTTGACCTTGGCCGATCCCTTTCCATTGGGAAGAGAAACCTTTTCTGGACTACCAATGTTGCCATTGTCAATGTCCATGGAAATTTGGGAGACAGATCCTTCAAACATATTTGCTTGACTCGTGCTCTTAAGCATTTCTGCTTCGACAACAATCAACATATATGTTAGATCAATTAGGGTCACGTCGTGATCCCTCATATAGTAGTCTTTGATGAACTGACTATATGACTCAGGAAGCGAAAGAAGAACCAAGTCAATGGCTAGCTCCCTTGGAAAAACGACACCCAACATCCCCAATCTGTCAATGTGCGATTTCATTTTCAAAACATGCGCACACACATACTTTCCATCTTGATGTTTACATGCCAACAGGGCTCGAGTGACTTCGTACTTTTCAACTTGAAGAATGCATGACTCGGGGAGAGTCATTAGAGGAGGAAGAGTTGGAGAAGCATGATTTCCAGTTCCACCATTGCTTGAAGAATGGAACATTCTTTCACCTTGATCAACATGTGGAAGATCATCTTCAGAAGGAAACCATTTCCAGAAGGGCGAGGAGAACCATTGTTGTCTGAACTAGACATCTATATTAGGAGAAAAGAGAATTCAAGTTAGTTGATTTTAATCCTTAACTATTAACCCAAAAATTTAAATTAAGGCTAGGATCCATATTTTCGATTCGAATTCTGAAGAGGGATGCCGTAATCAAATTTGAATCTATTTTAGGTAGGTAAAGCATTTACCAGTTTTAATCTTATGAAACTATTAGATTTTTTGAGATTCATTGAACTATTCAATGACATGTTTAATCTTGATTATGCTCTCACTTTGTGACTGGGATGCCGAGGATCACAAACAAGATGTGAATAACCATGCAAATTAGCTTGGTACTCTCGATGTCATTTATCATCTGAAATTAACATGCCGGTTAACCACACACACTCCATTAATTCAATGATAATTTACGAGACACCGATTGCCAACAATATTAGTCCCATATTAGTGTGTCGGTTAACCACACACGCTCCACTAACGACCAATAAGGTGCAATGTGCAATTTCATGGGTTAGCATCAAATTCACATTTTTCCTAAAGTAACTAAAAATGAGATTTTAGAAAATGGTTTAGTTACTTTATCATTATACTTTTAATGAAGATTAATTGTCCTATCGAACCCATTCGGCTAATGACCTCCACCATACAAGAGAGCGGTGGGTAAGAATGGATACCCAATGACAGTCAGTTTACATGCCGCTTCCTTAAACTCCCCTTATAGTATGGTTTTCGTGAATGAGGTGTACTAGCGGTTCTACTGACTTTTTTATACATATAATATATATTAAACTTTTAATTATATATATAGTATAAGGTGAATTTTAAACATTTTAAAATTCCAAGAGTTTAATATTTTAATAAATTAAACTTTTAATTTAATTAAATTTAAATCATATATGGATTTATTAATTATCCTTTAATCAATCATTTAATTAAATTATCAATAAAATCCATAAGAATGTAATTTTGGGCTTACATTTTTAATTTTTAAAAATTAAACCTTTTAATTTAAACCTCAAACAACCCTAAAATTAACATTAGTTATTAAGTCCAATTAATAATCAAAATTAATTATTTAGTAACCAATTATTGATAGATTAATTATCCTTTAATTAAACAATAAATTAAATTATTAATCAAATCCATAAGGATAATTATAATCAAATAAAATCAACATTAACCAATTCATAATTATCTCCTAACATTTAGGTCTTATTTAATTATCTAATATTACCAAAAATCAGATTATGGCAGATTTAATAAAAGATAATTACCAAATATTAACCAAATAAATCAAGTTAGGTAAGAAAATCCGAAATCAGGATATGAGACACAAACACGCCGTGTTGCAGTACAACACGTCGTGTTCGAAGAACACCACAACGTATTCGAAGAACAAAATGACGATTATGTTTTCTCCTCCTTGTTCAAGTTCATATTAGTGTCAATTCAATAGAAAACTAAACCTAGGCTTTGATACCAATGATGAGTTTCGAGCATAACATACAATCCTATGTGTGCATGCAACCCTAATTGAAGATCTGCGTTTTCTCTAATTGAACATACAATAATGAACAACAAAGTATAAACCCTAGATTTATGGATAATAATCGAAAATCATATAATAAGGGTTATGATACATACCTTTAAGATTGTTATTGTAAACAACCTTGAATCCTTGCTTGAAAGACCTTCGGTAGCAAGCGCCACAAGTGTCGCGCCTCTAATGGTTCACAAACAAACCAAGCAACCAAGGAAAACTATAGAGAGAGAGAGGGAAGGAGCCAAAATTTCATCCAAGGCTCTTAGAAGGAAGTCTTAGACGAAATTCAACCCTAATGAGGGTTTATATAGGTGTTAGGAAGGTATTGGATAAGGCATGTATATCCAAGATAACCCTAATCCCTTAACTTCCCCCCCTAAGGCATCAAAGACACCCTTAGAACCCAAGAAACCCTAGGACACTCTAGATTTCGTCCCCCCCCCTCTTTAGGGAGGTTTTAGAATTGCTCAAAGCTCAACTATTGAATATTGTCACCTTTAGTCCCTGCACTTTTAATTAATTCCTTTGACCCCAAAATTAATTTCTGATTAAATATTAATTAAACAATATGATTACTATTTAATATATTATTTCCATAATACATTAATAAATTATTTATTTTGATTTCTAATTAATTTATTAACCAAGTAATAAATAAATAAATCATTATTCTCTCTCTAACAGTTATCCTATTCAATTGTCAGGTTTGAAGGCAACCCAAAAGGACTGTGATACTATCAATTCAAGTTTATATCAATTATAGCTATAGGCCTAGACACCTAATCCAACAGAGACTACTGTTTTGTGTTGTCAGTCAATAGACCGGGGCAATCCAATTGGGAGGTTGTGGGCCAGGGTAATCCAACTGGGAGGTTGTGGACCCAGTACGTGATATGCAGGGCAATCTAACCGGGAGGTTATGGGTCAGGGTAATCCAACCGGGAGGTTGTGGACCGAGCATGCAAGATTGTATATGTTATGTATTGTATGGTGGTACTTTGGGGGAACTCACTAAGCTTTGGATTACAGTTTCAGTTTATAGTTTCAGGTACTTCAGATGATAGCGGGAAAACGAAGGCGTGATCGTGCACATATTCCTATTTTTATGATATGGGATCTTGGGGAAAACTCTAATTATGATTATAATTTTTAAATAATGGTTTTGTAGTTGTTTTAAAAAATTAAAATTTATTGAGATTTTTTGGATGTTACATGACACTTTTGGTCCCTTTTAACCAAAGTCTAAATTTATTGCCAAAACTCTATCCCATTTCAATTTGTAAACTAGTAACAAAGTTTATAATAATTATTATCCTAAATTATTTACTTCCTTTTATTTATTTATTTCACTTAAATTTATTTTATTATAAACTCATAAAGTTTTTTTACCAAAAAACCCAAAACTTCTAGCCCTAAAACCATGATGTTATAAAAATAACATTAAATCTTTCCACAGTTCAAAAGTTTAGTATTGATAAGTATTCGAGGGCAAACAATTTTACCAAGAGACAATTAGGTAAAATGTAAGACTATTCCATATATATATATATATATATATATATATATATATATATATATATATACACACACACACATAATTTTCTAAATGGTAAACTACAACAATCGTCTTCATGCACATGTCAGAAAGCGTGGTTAGTCTTTATTTTCAAAAATTAACTCGGACCGTCCCTCGTCTGTTTAAAAGTTGCACACTCCGTCCCTAATGCGTGTTTTGTTGCGAATTTAGTCCATACTAGATATGAAATGACCATAATGCCCTTTATTTATTTATTTTCCATTTATTTTTTATTTATTTAGTATTATTAATTATAAATCATATTTAAAAAAATGGTCCTTCCCCTTATTTATTTGTTCTCTCATTAAACCCCACCCTCGCACTCTAGTATTCCGACGACACATCAAACCCTCAACCTCCAATATTTCAACGACATTTAGATCAACAATTTCCAACATATATGGAGGTAGTTTCTAGCGTTCAGCTCGATGGAAAGGTGGAAGGTTCTGGTGTCTAGATCATATTTTCCCACCTCTACACTCCATATGATGAACACCCTTCCAACAACACCACGAACTGATGGGTTTTTATTCGAAAATTCGGTTTCACAAACGGTAAAAACGGCAATGGAAGCTTTAAAATTGTTGAATAAAACTAAAACTATTTTACCCACCAATGATCATTTTGCAAGAGTTACAAAGATTAAAACAACCATAGAAGATAAAGCATAACAACCTTTGAAGACTTTGATCCTCATGAGATGTTGGAATTTGATGAAAATGACATTAAGTTCTAAATTAAGAGCTCTCTAGAAGTATTCACCAAGCAATAGTAGAACCATCAAAACATGCTAGTATGCACTTGTAATTAGTTGTTCATAAGCCTTAGAAATATATACCAAATATATGTTCTAAGGTGAAGCAACTAAGAGACTTTGTCTAATATCAAAATGCAAGAGAGGGCTTGAACTTCCGAAATATGGCAGCCCCATAGAGAGCAAAGTGCTCTCGATTTTAGGCTCCAAAGAAGAACAAAAGTGAGGCTTGCAAGAACTAGTTTCTAATGCCTTCATACCTTAGATTTTATGCAAGACAAAAGCTAATAAAGCACCTTACATAAAGCAAGTTAAAGCATGGGTCATGAGGACAAGCATGCATGTAGAATCTACTCTTAATAAAAACCTCCCTAAACAGCCACATGGCTCTCTTTTACACAACCACTTTGCCACGTGTAATCTTTCTAGACCCTCCACCAATTATTTTCCCGCTCGTAGTGTCCCTCAATGAAATCCTTATTCATGGAAAAAAATTGAAAACAATTTCCAAATTCTACCCGAGAAATCAGCTATCGAATATTTGCGACTTGATTAAGAAAACACCATGATTTGAGGAACGAAATTGACTCCTTAATCTCACCTCCATCCTTTTTAATGCTCTTCTTGGTCTCTTCATCATTTACGTCTCCTCCTATCATTTACGTCTCCTCCCAAATTGATTGCTTTTGTTATTGGAACCAGGGTTACCCCTAACGTTGATCCACAACTATTTCCCCAATTTTGAAAGGTAAATTCGAAAGGTTATTTGGGTTATGATTATTATTTTTATGGCTATCGTTCTCTTCTTCTTCGACCTCGCAGATGCTTATTTCAGCAGTGTATTCATTGATTAGAGGGCTTTCGATTGTAGGTTTGATTGGTTTATCAACATTCATGGCGACATCAATCTTACAAAAAGGGAAGTTTCGGTTCTCAAACTCTCGATTCGTATTTTCACTCTAATGTTTCGATTTGCACTCACTCCTACTTGTACATCTATATTTGTTATCTTTGTAGACCTGGTGATTTCATCTATTAGTTGGGTATTGAATACATACAATATGTTTTGTTGATCTACCAGAGCAGTTGATAATATCTTTATCAAGATCTATTTACCCTATCTAATAAAAGAGTAGTTCTGATTGTCCGTGTCGCCCTACTATGCCTTGGTATTTAATATTTGCCACTGGTCGCTCATTTAGAAATGCTATCCCTTTTATGAACAATTCTCTACGTGTTTTTCGAATTTGAAATTGACTTTGCAATCCCCTATAAATCAGCCGTGAGATTAGTCTATCATAAATTCAAACATAATAAAAAAGCGTATTTATCTCCCAATAAGTGTGTTGTATCCACAAAATTTTCTCCATATTTATCTCTCTCGCTTTCATGGTCTATGTTTCTCTTTTGTTTTTCATCTTCTCTTTTAGGGATTTCGCTGTAAAGTACAGGGTTTAATGTGATGCGTCTGAATTGCAAATGGAGGAACCATGATCGCAACTAGAAACGTTAGAAGTGACAAACGAAAACCTAGAGTCCTATGGTGATATGTTTGGTCGACTTTAGAGGAAGAAGCAAAGGAAATGCAAGATTTTGATACTATTTTCGATACGTCTATTGGAAATACCTTAAAAGTACCAAAGATTTGGGACTCCCTCAACAATGATTCAAGGATAACGAACTCGGGAAGGTAACATCCGACAGTTTTTTATCTAAAAATGTTAATATTATAGTTTATAGGATGTTTTGATATGATTACAATTCATATTAGCAGATGGCTGTGTTAACAAAGATTAAGAGTCGTCCATCATATAACTAAATCAATTTCCCTCAATTTTCTTTGTATTTGAATTTTCTATTTGCGTATTCCCCTGCCCTTAGCATGCCAGCCCAATTAGTTATCAAGATTAACTAATCAAGTATAAGAGTATTTGTGAGAAAATCAAGATGTTTGTACAAATCATGTTGTCTCTAAATGTATGGGCCTGAAAGTTTTCTGTTTCACTCATCAATGAGTTTTATTAATGTTTTTGTCAAATTTCTTTAAATTTGTGGACGATCGCAAACTCTATGCATCTTATAAGTGAAGTTAAAGTCCAAATGTGTATAACTCTATTATAGAATTTGGTTTCGAAGTTACAAATGCTTTTTTGCTTTTGTGGTTAAACACATCTTTTATAGTATATAAAATTGAAACTGGTTCTTCTATTTTTTTAAGAAAATGAATACAAGGTGTAGCATATGTTTTTTCATGGTAATTATATTGAAAGATCTAAAACCATTTGATGAAACTTTGGCTAAAATATGTTTACCTCACACTTTATAAGATTTAGGCATGGTTGTAGAAGCTATAATATAGCTGCCAAACTTCTTTTCTCTTTATGTAAAACGTGAAATTTCTAGCATTACTGTAATGGATACTTACAACTAAGTCATTTTTGCTTTTAGAAAACGGATTGAACTTGCTATGGTTGAATAACTATATGTTCATGTTGATTCCAAGGTAAATGATATAAGTTATGAAGTTGTACTGTGTTTTGTAGGTTTGGGCATAATTATGATGAGTTCTTATAGCTTTTAACGAGAAAGAGACCAACAAATTCATTTTTTTTATGAAAGAAGAGCTAAATGCAGATGGTTGGGTATGTAATTATTCTACTTAAGTTTATGGTTTTCCAAATGGGGATTACGATTATTAATTAAACAAACTACATGTTTGATTGATTATAAATATTTGGTTTAACTGCAAGAACTAGCAACATACTTTCTTTTACTTCGTTCTATAGCATCCTACTTTTATTTCTTTAAATTACAACATTTTTATTATAATTTTTTTATTAAAGCATTGTATATCGAGACGTTTATCCAGCTGTTAAATAAATTGTAATGAAATTCTAGATTTATTGCAAAAATGTAAATAAATAACTTGACCTTTTTTTTGTTGTCTACAAGTGTTCTCAAAGATAATAACTTAAGCCATTTGCTAAGTTGTTTTTCTACTCATTGTTCATTTTGCTCTTATTATTATTTCTACTGGTGTTTATTTAAATTCTTTTGCAACTTCAGGTTAATTTTCGTATTGTACTTTATTTAGATTTTGTTAGCCTTTCCATAATCATCCTATTTTCTTTTTCTTGTTTTGTTTTCATCCAAGTATTAGTTGATGATACTTTTCTTGTGATTTCATTTTTTTAACAGCTAGCAAATCAATAGATTGTAATGATGTGCATAGTGGAGTTCTGAAGCTAATGCTAAACCCATATTTATACATGGTGCATAAGTGAGCTAACTGTTGAAGTGCGTTCTAAAGGTTTTATTTTTGTATCTAATTCAACCCATTTTACTTAATTATTTAATAATATGTTATTTATGGTATATAAGAGCGCCAATTTTTGAATGGGTGTAGAGGAGAGGTAATCAAACTAGCAAAAAATAGTAAGGCAAATAATGTTATGTTAGTTTTGAACATTTTTTATATTATTATGGTTGTTTACATATCGTCATCGTTGTAGCTTGTAAGCACCATAAGTGTAGCCTAATTGAGTCTGTAATAAATGTATGTTGCTCCAATTTACATTAATAATTATATATTTTATATTTTAATTTATTTATCAGTTTATGAAAATGAAAATAAAAAACAATTAATTCACTACCAATGCATTGAATTTAAATTGTAACTAATAAGAATAATAAAATACTACATACAAAAAAACAAATTATTAAAAAAGAATATCATATGTATCCTAAAAAAATGTTTAACATGTTTATTTTAATCCAACATTAGAGTTACATCAAAATCTCATAACTCTATAAAATAATAATTTTTTGAAAATAAATAATTAATTATTATTATTTTTAACTATCAATATTTGTTTATATTTGTAACCGTGGTTCCCACGGGTTATAACCTAGTAAACTAATCAAAAGGCCATGCATACTTTGTCTCCTCCCATTTTCGGCCTCATGGTTAATGGACGGAACCAAAGGATGTTCCATTCTCTTATGACTAGTTTATACACGTGTGTGTATATATATATATATATATATATATATATATATATATATATATATATATATATATATATATATAAAGGCTATCATTTATATAAAATGATTATGATATTCATATAACTAGTCATACATATAAATATCTCTTTTATATAAAACTACCTTTTATATAAATAAACTCTAACTAGTTTATTAAGATATAATTATATATAACTTATAAATAATCATACTTTATGATATATTTTATAAGTTGTTATTTCTCCAATAAATATTATTTCCACAAATAATAAATTCCTCATTAGTAAAATATTATTTTGGGTAAATTACACCAATCGTCCCTCGTGCATATGCCGAAAAGCATGTTCAGTCCCTATTTTTAAAAATTAACTCGGACCGTCTCTCGTTTGGTTTAAACTTGCACGAATGATCCCTCGTTAGTTTAAATCTGCACAATTCATCCTTTTCCTCACATAAAATGACTATATTGCCCTTATTGGTTTATTTTGTATTAATAAGAAAAATAAAAAATAAATTTTAATCCTTTATTTTTACATTTATTAATAATTTCTAAACATTTAAACCTATCACCACCACCCCATTTACCAATAAATACCCTAAGTCTTCAATCCCTCTCTTCATCGTCCCTCACCTTCATTTGAAACTAAAATCCGGCCACAGGGGATACAACGACCGCCAGAAACCCGCTTGATCGCCACCACGTACCACCACCTCACTTTCCTTGCTCTATTGATGTCAAAAATAACATCACCACCGGCGACTGTTGATTTAACACATCCGTCATCGACCTTCTTCCTCCTCCCTCTCTTGATTTTTCCGCTACCAAAATCTCCGCCACATTCCGCCCAATCTTCTCCGGATACTCAGATTTCTGCTCCTCCATATACCCAATTCCACTGCTAACAAGCACCACTTTCTCCACCATCTTCTCCTCCATATCCGCCATCTAGTACACCACAAACCTCTGTAACTAATTATATACACCAAAAATCTATTAAACCCTAATTTCTTCATGCCATCACACACGCACTTCACCTGAAACACCTCTGTAAGCTCCGTCCTTATCGAATACGATTTGGTGAAAAACACCAGATCTGGTATGGTGAAATTTTATGTCAGTAGAGATACCTGCACTATGAATTGCCACCTGAGTTACCTCTGTAGCCATGGATGAGAACAAGGTTTGGTTTGTTCCAGTGGCGGTGGTTTGCCGCTCATGTGTGGTTGTCCTCCCCCTTTTCTTCTTCTCCGATAAGCTTTCTATGTCCCCAATTTAGATCATCTTGCCTTTCTTCTCCGGTGATATGGGTCCCAAATCGACTGGAAATAAAATGCACAGAGGAAAACAAAACATCGGTATATAAGTCACCCCTCTCTGACCCTTGTGACCTAAACATGTAAAACCTAGTAGCAAGTTGCAGATTAACCCTCACATCTTCATCGTTTCTGGTTTCAAGTTGTAGATTTGTTAAGTTGCAGGATTTTTGGTTTCAAACAATTGAATTTCTCTTTTTTTATGGTTTCTTTTCCTTTAAGGGATGACGATCGGTGTTGACGGTGATGTCGGTGATTGGTGTTGGTGGTGATGGTGGAGATGAGACAGAATGAAGAAGAATGGGGGAAGAGACAGGTTATGAAGGTGATTAGTTTTAGGGTCCATTTCTTTTCTTAAAGGCAGTAAATAATTATTTTTATAATAAAAAAATCAATAAATAAATAATAAATAACAAAGAAATATAAAATAAATCAAAAAATAAATAAATAAGGGTAAAATGGTCTTTTTATATGTTGAGGGACTAATCGTGCAAGAAAAAACACACTGAGGGACGGTCTGAGTTAATTTTTGAAAATAGGGACTGAACGTGTTTTTTGGCATATGCACGAGGGACGATTGATGTAATTTACCCTATTATTTTCATGAAATAATAATTTTCCAATTAAATACAAGTGTTGGTATATTTATTAATAATCAAATATACTAATAAATAATCAATTGATGGTAATTTGCTATAAAGCGTGGCTCTATAGGATCATATATTATTAGCAATATCATTCTATAATGACTCTTGGGTATACTAGATCTTTCACGAACACACCATCACAAATTTATGTTTCCGATGAGAGGGAGTAAGGAGATCGGATGTGACAACCCGAAATTTTTTTTAAAAAAATTTTGCCTTGCAAAGCTCAGCCAGTCAAGTCAACTGAGTGTCAGACTCATTTGCTGCTATCATTTAGCCTCATTTGGGGTTCGTTTAAAGGTCCAAAGGTCAGTACATTCAAGCTTTGAACATAGAAATGGATCGTGTACACTTCTAGCATCAAAACCGGGCCTTACACTCCAACATCAGGAGTGTACGGCCGCACACTGGGTGTGCGGCCGCACACCCCTCTCCTGGCCGTACACCCACCTCCATATAAAGGAAGAGACCCCCTTCATTTACTCTTTGTCCTTTTTGGCTGCACACTACTTTCTCTCTCTAGAAACTTCATCCAAGAACACTCTAAGGGCCTCAAAAACATGAAGTACTCCATCATTCAGCTTGTTATTCTGGTAAGACACCTTGATCTAAGCCTAAAACCCTTCATGTTCTTCGTGTTCTTCATCACTTGAAGGTGTACGGCCGCACACCTTCATAAGGTGGCCGTACACACCTTAAAGACTCTCCAAAGTGAGAGCTTGGCCTTCATTTGCTAGTTGGACTTGGTATTGGCTTTGAAACACCTAGAAATTGACATTTTGGGCATGAATGAAGAGTGTACGGCCGCACACCCCTGTGTACGACCGCACACGCCCTCTGTACGGCCGCACACTCCTGTGTGCAACCGCACACACATGCTGACCGCACACCCATGGCCGTACACCCATCAATATGGCCGTACACTCCCATTTAGTGAATCACATGTGATTCCAACACTTGGACAAAGTGTTTCCTAGTCCCGTAAGGTGTTTCCTTGCATTTGGGTGCTTCTAAGCACTATATTTATGTCAATATATGACAATGTATATCATTTAGGACTTGTTGTGTCTCGGGACTTCATTCGTGGAACTTCTCATCCTTACACGCGTATTCGTTGAATCACCCACATCAGGTGAGTTCATACCCCGTAATGAATCTTTTAACTGCTTTAAATGTTTTAGGGGGGGGGGATACAAGTTGAACACAATGCTAATTGTGTAATTGTTTGTTATAAATATTTCAAAAGGATTACTTATGTCATTTATAAGTCGTCAAAACATCTCAAAGACCCTTTTTCAGGTTACGTGACTTTATAGTGTAACAAAACTCCGTTTTTAAAGTACTGGCATAACTTGGTAGATAAAAGAGTCTTTTCAATAACAGTTCAAGGAAAACATTAGTGAACTATAATAGGTATAGTTTAGGAAAACACTATTCATTTCCTTCTAATACAATAAAGCATACAAGGAGTCAGTTCAAGTACATTAATAGCAAACTATAATAGGTATAGTTTAGAAATCCAGTTCATACTAGATACAATACACGATAATATAAAGAGAACACACAATAAAGAGAAACAGGGAGGAACACACCATACTAAGTACCGGGAAAAATCACGTTAATATATCTTGCCGAGTTTGCATTGACACTGGTACGATTTCACGTACCAGGACTAGCAGGCACGAGGTGATAAAACTAATAATATATCTTGCTGAGTTTGCATTGACACTGGTACGATTTCACGTACCATGACTAGCAGGCACGAGGTGATAAACCTATTAATATATCTTGCCGAGTTTGCATTGACACTGGTACGATTTCACGTACCAGGACTAGCAGGCACGATGTGATAAAACTAATAATATATCTTGCCAAGTTTGCATTGACACTGATACGATTTCACATGCCAGGACTAGCAGACACGCGATGATAGAATATCATAATATATCTTCCTAGTTACATACTAGTTCACATTTAAACCTTTAATTAACCGACTTAGGACTAAAGGATACTTTAGACTCCCCGAGGTGTATTGTACATTTAATACTACCTGGAGTCTGTATTTTACTACTTTAGACTCCCCGAGGTGTATCATTCATTTAATACTACCTGAAGTCTGTATTTTACTACTTTAGACTCCCCGAGGTGTATCGTTCATTTAATACTACCTGGAGTCTGTATTTTATTACTTTATAACCAGCAATGTCATTGCTAAGGTAAAACATTATTTTCCCTATTACATTTACTTGTGACCTTCTCACATATTCATTAATGTATAAACTATATTTAGTTAAAGATAGTCTCACTTGGGAAAATACATACTAATACAAGGAACGAACACCCATAACATTTGATGCCTTGGTAGAAGGCTACGTTTAGTAGAAATGACCATAATGCTAACCTTATGATTCCCTAATGTATACATCAAAGGATACATATATATTAATAGGATCCGACAGGTAATAGGATGTGTGCTTTCCGCTTCATTTCCTGTTCCTTGTTTGGTTGTGGGCTTGGAACAGATTCACCCAGTCTACTATCTATCCGATTCTAGATAT